ACCTTGCGCTTGCCAGGCAGGCGCTTTTGCCGCTGAGCTAAATCCCCAGCCCCTTGGGTGCTGGGATTAAAGGGGTGCACCACCACACCAGGCTGAAACTTTGTAAAGATTCACTTTATCAGCACAGGTCTGACTGCAGGGGGGACCACAGAGAGCCTGGTAGGAAGGAATAGGAGAGCAAAAATGGCTGTGCAGCATGGGGTGGAACCTAAGGAGAAACTTACTATAGAGGCAGGAACATCAGAGCCAATACCCAGAACTTCCTGCAAGACCAAATGTGTAACTGAGGCAGCAATTACCCCACCCCACCCCATGCCCGCTGGTAGGGCTGTCCCTCAGCGTCCATTGGAGTTTGGTTCCAGACTCCCTAGAGTCTGTGGCTGCGTGAGTTCCTGGTGCCCAGTGGGCCCATAGTTACATTCGCTTAGAAACTTAAATCATCTCTACGTTCCTTACAGCACCTCGCGCAGCACCAAGGCTGGGCAGACATGTCTTCAGCTGTACCCTGTAGGGAACAAGGACCAGGAAGGAACGGGTCCACGTTCAGCGCAGTTGCACCTTGTTTCCCTGGACATTCTGATCCACAGGTGGCTGAGTCTGCAAATGTAGAAGCCAGGGCCACGGAGGCCAGCTGTGCTCGGAATGCCTTGAAGAGAGCATCTGTGCGTGAGCACGGCCATGGGGGTGACACCCATAATCCCAGCACTCTGGGAGGCTGAGGCAGGAGGCTCACAAGTCACACTGGCAGAGTCCTGTATTGGTAGCCCTGGCACACGCAGCAGGTCACCAGGGCTAACAGCAATGACGCTTGAAACAGCTTTGGGTTTTAGTCCCTTTTGGTGCCTGCTCAGAACAGTGCCTGCCAGCCAGCATGCCGGCCCACGCCTGTAATCCCAGCACTTGGGAGGCTGAGGCAGGAGGATCAACAGAAGTTTGAGGCCAGCCTGGGCTACATAGTGAGTTCAAGACCATCCTCAACTAGAAAACAAGAAAAACCAAATGAACAAAAAGCAAGCAGTGTTGTAGAATTTTGAGGCCGGAGGGACAATAGATGTTGCATTTCAGAAGATTTTAAGATGGGTAAGAGCAAAGCAAACCATGTGGAATCAACCAGATTGACAAAAAAGGAAATTTCTGATTATGGCAAAAGAGCTATGAGCTGGGCATGCTAGCACACTCAGGAGGCTGAGGCAGGAGTGATACAGCAAGCAAGTTCAATGAGACAGGCACTCCTAAGAAAACCAGGCTGGGCATGGTGGTGCATGCCTGTAATCCCAGCACTCAGGAGACTGAGGCAGGAGGATCCTTGCAAGTTCAAGACCAGCTTGGGCTGCAAAGTGAGCTCAAGGCCAGCCTGAACTGCATAGCGAGACCCTGCCTCAAAAAGAAAAAAAAAAAAAAAAACCAAAAGGCAGGAATGAACAAAGCTTTATTGACCCAGCTGATGGGCAGTGTCTAACCAGGAGGCAGAGAACATGTCCATGCCAATCTGGGCCTTACCTTCAGTTTAAATATATTTTTAAGTTTCTATAGTAACTATTACCTCACTTTTGAGAATCTTACAAGAATATCACACTCTTATCACAAAGTTTACTTCTCCAGAAGCTATCAGACAGCCGGGTTCCAGGTAACCATTGGGGTTTAACTTTTAGCCTACTTCCCAATCTGTTCTCTTTGTTCTGTTCCCATTTTATGACTCTGCTCTCCTTTAAGTGGGTCGATAACTAACCAAAGGGCAGGGGTAAAGAGTGGGGATCAACTACAGTTTAAGTAAACTTAAGTGACTTCTCTTAATATGGAGTTAAAAAAAGAAAATGCAGTCCTCTTGCCCTGTGAGGAGGATCACCCTGAGTTCGTGGCCAGCCTGGGCTCCATAGTGAATCCAAAGCCAGTGTGAGTTACATAGCAAGACCCTGTCCCAAAACAGCAACTACCAAAAACAAAACAAAAGAGCTGTGAAAAGTTCAAAGAAAGAAAGAAAATGATTTAAGTGTTAACTGTACAGGGAGGGGAGTTAAAATGAGAGTCAAAATTCCTCAAAAATGCAGTCTATGATGTGTGTTACTCTTTGTATAACTTATGGATGTGGCAGGGACATAGAGGGTTTTGTGCCTTTGGTTAGTTGGTTGGACTTTTTTTTTTTTGTCATTTTATTATTGTTGTCATTATTCTTATTCTTCTTCTTCTTATTATTACTACAACTACTATAACAATTGCAGCACTAGGGATTGAATACAGGCCTTTGCACTGAGCTCCATCCCCAGACCATTTTTTATCTGTTATTTTGTGATAGGGTCTAGCTATTGCTAAATTGCCCAGGCTAGGCTCTAACTTGAGATCCTCCTGCTTCAGCCTCCTCTGTCCTCATTTTCTAACCATATTATTTTCAGCCATATAGTTACATTAGATTTCAAACTACAGGGACTTGCCAAAACTCATGCTCATGAAGAAATGCCAGACCAACTAGATGATGGCCACTTTGTTGACAAAAATATGAGAAATTCTGCTTCCAGTTAATAAAAGTTATGAAAAAAAAAAGTTATGAAGAAACAGGAAATTGAGTTTTAAGGGAGAAGTGGGAAATACTACTGCAACCAGTTAAAGTTAGAGTTACATATTTTTACACAGAAATTTAGAATTCAAAACCGTATATAACACTGCAGCATAACAATCATGATGACATTTTGTAACATACTTAAATTTTCATATTGACGTAGCATAACCCTTTTAACCTATCATCTTTATCTAGTACATAAGAAGCTTTACCTAATTTGTTGCCCTTTAATGGGCTATACATCACATAAGTTTTTTGTTAAAGATAGAGGTCTGAACCTAAAAGAAAAATCTTACCACCATGAGCAATCCTTGTTTTACATTTTGGAAGACCTATACATCTGGAACCATGAATACATTTAATACACCATGAGATTAACAATAATGAATACGCATATGAAAACCTTTGTTTCTTAATTTAGTTTTGTACCAAGAGCATCTTTTGTGAGAAAACTTTCTGGCAACTTTCTAGAAAACTTTCTTTCTAGAAAACTTTACCATTTCACCAATGATCATATTGTTAGGGGTTTCTTCCAAGAGACTATGGAGATCACTGGGGGCTCCTTATTAATGAACAAAAGCTGGCCACTCTGCTATTCACCAACTGGAGTCCTATCCAATAATCTCTCCCCACCCTAAGGGAATTTGTTTAATTATCTTATTTTTTTTGATGACCTGTGAGAAAACCAATTTTTACATTTTGATTAGCTGGTAACCCAAGTGGAAACATGCTTTTAAGTCTAGAATCCAAATTGTATTATGAACAAAAGGTCCAAAAATGAAAAAGAAAAAAAGGAAAAAAGAAAAAATTGCTGAGCTCAAATAAAAAAAGAACAGCTGTTCACAGATAATGACAAAGACATAGCTTTAATAGATTAGACAAACAGAAAAACATT